TGTGTGTGTGTGTGTGTGTGTGTGTGTGTCTGTCTATCTGTCTGTCTGTTTCGCCCTTTCTTTCTTCCTGTTCCCCCTTCTCTGTCCCCCCCCTCTGCTAACAACATATATTCATATGTATCTACCCTCTATATATATGTACATATATCTCCCGTCTTTCTCTTCCCCCTCTCTCCAACCTCTTTGTCCCTTCCCTCTCTCTCCCTTCTTTTCTTCTCTCCCGTTCTGCCTTTTGGCGTCTCAGTCCCCCCTCCTCTCTCGCTCCCTCCCACCCCCCCCTCCTTTTGTCTCTGTCTCTCTACATCTTTTCTTTATTAATTTGGCGGCCATCTTGGATTTCAAGGCCTCATGGGTAACGCCCACCTTTTAAAAAGAGGCATGGGGGCTAATTTTCTTACTAAGACCTTGAAGATGGTAAAACTTCAAAACGTGTGAAAATAAACTTCCGGAGCCCACGGTAACGGGACTATAGTTTTTAACCCAACTAAATCTTTCTCTGTGAAGCACGGCATTCATGTAATGTACTGTATCGTACATGTAAACTCTCGTTTCATTTTGAAATTTAGGAGAGAACCCGAACCCAAATAATTTGCACAAGGCCCCAGTTTTTCCACCCCGTCACCACTGTTTTTTTGTTTGTTTGTTTATTTGTTTGTTTGTTTATTTGTTTGTTTGTTTATTTGTTAATTTGTTTCTTTGCTGGCTGTGGAGGGGGATGGTACAAAGTCTCTCTCGCTCTTCATCTTCTGTGGTACCAGGAATCCCCACAAACTCAGCGGCCCGACGAATGGCCTCTAACTAACTTGATCAAGAACTTTTCTGAATGTTACTGTTTCTGTACATGTGGCCGTTCTGGGTCTGTCTTTTGTTTGGCACTCCTGAAGCAGAATGTGGTTTTGGTTGTGGTTATGGTTGTGGTAATGGTTGTGATTAGTTGTGGTTGTTGTTGTGGTAATGGGTGTGTTTATGGTTCTGGTAATGGTTGTGGTAATGGTCATGATTATGATTGTGGTTATTTATTATTTTGATTATGATGTGGTTATGGCTGTGATAATGCATGCTATGATATATATAAAAATTACTTATAATCTTTTTCTTCCAGGCGCGCTCTTCTGGCAGCCAGGGAGGCCGGGGTCCCATTGATGGTTCACCATGCCCGGTCAAACGTGCTGCAAACAGGAGAAAATGGTGAGGAGGGGGGGGTATATATATATGTTTGTTTAGTAAAGGTTTTACGGCGCTCGCAACTGCATAAGGTCATAATATGAGTTCCAGAAGATAAGAGGTGTTACAAGAGAGTAACGAACATAAAAAAGAAGAAGGGGAGATAAGGACGATAGATGTTTGATAGGAAAGAAGGAGCAAACCGCACCAGAGCACCCTCCAACCACCCACGTGGATATATATGGAAGCTTGACTGTTTTGAAATGTCACAACTTCTCCTATTTTTTCCTCGTGTTTTTATCCCCATTATAATCCTCCTCCTCTTTTTCTTTCACTCCATCGTTCTTTTTCTCCCTCTTCCTCAATCTACTCATTCTATTTTTCCTCCTTCTCCTCCTCCCCTTCCCCAGTATACTTCAAAACTCAAGTGTCTTCCTCCTTTTACTTCTCATCTTCCTCTCCCCTCTCCTTAGTCTCCTCTTTAGCTTCTTCCTCCTTTTCTTCCTCCCTGGTTAGTTTCTTCCTACTTTTCTTCTCCTCTCCTCAGCCCCTCCCCCACCTCTCAATTCTCTCCAGTCTCTTCTACCTTCTCTTCCCCCCTCTTCTTCAGCCTCCATCTTAGTGTTTTCCTCCTTCTCCTCCTCCTCCTCCTCCTCCTTTTCCTCCTCTTCCGTCTCCTCCTCCTCTTCCTTCTCCTTCTCCTCCTCCTCCTCCTCCTCCTCCTCCTTCTCC